AATAGGTTGGAATCAATTATAATTCCAAGATATTTGATAGAGTTTACAGGAATGATTTTCTGGCCACTTAATCTAAAGTTTAAATTTTTATTGATTTTTGTTTTATTAGATTTGAATATGACAGTTCAGTTTTGCTACAGCTGAGAGAAAGCTTATTTGAGCGAAGCCACTAAACTATATTGGCAAGATCATGATTAATGTATTTGTTAATTTTTTAAAAAGATTTTTTGATAATGAGCAAGTTAGTATCATCAGCAAAGTGGTAAAGAATTGCAAACTTAATTGAGTTATTAAGGTCAATTATAGGTAATAACATATAAAGAAGAAAAAGTAGTGGTCCTAATACTGACACCGTTGGAGACAAACTGAGATCTGTTGAGAAGATAGGAAGTAAACCATTCAAAAGGCATTCGTCTGATTCCATTCTAATTTCTTGAGTAGGATAGAATGATCTTTTGTATCAAAAGCTTTTTGTAGATTTACAAAGACACCACATGCAAAGTTTTTATCGTCAAGAGCTTTTTTAATAGACTCAGTAATTTTAATAATTGCATGATTTGTTGAATGATTAGTACGAAACCCATACTGGTGTTTGTAAAGGCACTTAAATTTATTCAAAAATGCATAGAGCCTCTTATGCATAGCTTTTTTAAAGATTTTGCTTAGGTTTGAAAGAAGAGAGATAGGACGGTAGTTACACATATCCATTGTAGAACCTTTTTTGAATATCAGAATGACTTTAGGAACTTTGAAAGCACCTGGGAATAAACCGTTTTAAAATGAGTTATAATAATACTGAGAGGTTTAGAAATTATGTCTGGAATAAGTTTAAGAAGGAATTTAGGAAGGCTATTAGGACCAAAGCTTTTTCCAACTCTAAGGGTGGTTTTAATAAGATTAGAGATTTCATTCTCTGTGACAGGATCAATAAAGAACGATTAAAATTTGGAAAGTTGATATGGTCAGTAAAATTGGATGTTGAAGGTATGATTTTTTTTTTTTGAAGTTTGTTTTGGATAGTAACAAAAAAGTTGTTTAACATATTCAATACAGTAATTTGATTTGTGATAATATTTTCTTTCAATTTAAGTTTGAGAGTTGAACTATAGGAGGAGGGTTTTATGTTAATGGTTTCTATTATCCGTTTCCAATTATTTTTAATATTGTTTAAGTTTTTACTAAAATAGGTTGTGTAATAGGATTTTTTACTAATTTTTAATAGATTGCTGATTCTGTTTCTATGAAATTCAAATTTAGAAAACAGTTTATTTTTAGTACTAATATCTTTACATTTTGTGCATTTTTTATATAGTCTGTTTATAATGGAAATATATTTAAGTATGCCATTGGTGATCCATGGTTTTGATTTAAGTTTTATTTGCTGCTTAGTTAGTTTTTTGTATGAAGCATTCTAATCTAATCGGTTTTCAAATGTCTTTAAAAGAAAACTGATAGATTGATTTACATCATCATCTTTTTTAATATAGAGATCCCAGTTAATGTTGAAAACATCTTCAATAAATATATTTTTGTTAAAAGTCTTGAAACATTGCCTGTAAGATTTACTTTTTTAATGGTGGTTGGTTTTTCTAGAAATGCAGATAAAATGAGCCATATGATCAGATATTGAAATAGTAAGATTGCCAGAGATTTGGTCAGGTGAATTGAAGTTTATAAAAATGTTATTGATAAGTATTTGTGATTTGGCTGTTATGCGTTTTGGCAGAATTATAACAGGATGTAATGAAAAATAAATAAGCGAGTCAAGGTAGCTAGATATAGGATTTGATTTATTATATTTTAGTATATCCATATTAAAATCATAACAAAAATATAACTAATTATGTTTTAAACTAATTATTATTTTGAAAACCAAATAAAAAATTTCGAAAACAATTAGTTAACAATTTAGTAAACAAATTATCTATATGTTTTATATTTCACCTAAATAGAAATATAAGCTTAAAAATAAATATATCAACATCATCGTTTTATTCATTATGTTCATATACATCTTCTTAATCTCTTTCGTCAGTAACTAATTCATAATTTTATTCATCTTCGTCTTCATTGTCATACTAATTGTACTCATTATCAGTTTCATTATGAATTTAGATTTTATCATTGGTATTTTTATTTGATTTTTTAATAAGAAGTTTCAATCTAGAGCGCTCTTTGATAATTGATTTTTTTAAACTTTATCTTAAGAAACTATTATAGTTGATATTATTGGATCACTTGTAATGAGAAGATAGTGAAGTTGGTCCTCAATTGTATGGAGTCTTGTATCATTTTCTGGTGAAGTCTGAATTGTTTATTATTTTTATTTCTAGATTCTTATTACTATGTATTGTTAGAATAAAATAAAATTCAACTAAAAAGTTATGTTCAGACGTGTCAGGAAAAACTCTCAAAACATAAAAGTTAAAGTTAATTACGTCGTATTAGCATTTATGTCGCTAATTTTTTCTATAAAATGAACGTTTTAAAACTACATTATTTTTTAATGGGGCAAGTTAGCACAGCTAACTTTTTTAGTTTCTTATAGAATGATACAAACTCTCTTTAAAAAAAGAATTGGCTTTGCGAAGGAAGTCTAAGGTAAAAAAGTCCTAGCTCCATAAAAAATAGTTATAAATTAAAATAAAATGATCTATTATATTTGTATGTTATTAAAACTAAAATAAAAAGCTTTGTATATGGGGAGAAAATTAAGTTTTAATAATGATAAAATTTTAATGATAAAAAAAGCTGTTTTCAATCACTTTCAAACGTATATTAACGTTTAAATCTATCATTTCAATATTTATTTTTTTGTACCATTAAAATCATAAGAAACTGTAGAAAATAGTTAGCTAATAACATTATTGAAATTACGCTACTCAAAAAACTGTATTTTGGCCAAACTTTAAGTGTTTCTGAATTACTGAGGAACTGTTTAAATTTTTGATGTAAAGGTAAAAATCATTTCAAATCAATTTTTGTTGATTTTAATGTTTTTTTTTTGTTTTTTTTCATATGAACAACCTGTTCTGATTAAGGAATCAAACTGTTCCAATTTAGGAAACCAGTTGCCTTGATTGAAACAAAATGGTAGCTTTGCAAAAACAAATTTGTTTCCAATAACAGTGCGATCAATTAAGTCAAATTATGGAAAAAAAAGTATAGTAGGGTTGTTTGTTTGTATTAATCAAATCATAAATGTTTTCATAGTTAAGCCATCTTTAATTAATATTTATTCCTAAAGTGTTCCAATTGAGGCAATCACCCCTACATGGTTAAAAAAAGTTTTCGCTTTGCTTATAAAAATTTTTACGTTTATGAATATCCCAATATTAAATGTTTTTAAAGATCTATACACCCTTGAAGCATAGAAAATATATAGTTTCCTATACTATAGAAAATATATAGTTTCCTAACTAGTTTTTTAACTAACCCTTTTGTAAAACAAAATTTAATCACTTTAGTATAACCTATGAAGCACCTTATCTTTGGAATAAAATGTAAACTTATGAAGCTCCTTATCTTTGGAAAAAAATATAAACTTATGAAGTACTTTATCTTTAGAACAAAATTGTTAATCCTAATTTTGATCTATCTCCATTTTTTAAAAATAAGAATGTTATTTTTAAAATGAATTATATATTTAAAATTTTCGAAATGTATTTTTCAATCATTTATTATTTGAACTATTACCAATTTTTATTTTGATTTGCTCTTCTTGTATTATATTATTTTTATATTGCAATTTTTTTATGGTTTTGGTGACGAGATCAGTATGATCTTCTTCCAAATTCTAAGTTTATATTATATGAAATGTTATCAATGCAAACTAAAAGATTAAAAAATATATATTTATATATTTTTAGTTGCATTAAAAATATAAAAAACTTGACTTATTCTAAGTTTAGCTTTTTATATTAGGGGCTGTCCATAAATGATGGCAGTAACTATTCCTTGCTTTTCGACCTTCCTCCAGCACTTTTTCAAAATCTGTCAATTTTTCGCTATCTTTAACCCCCCTTCTCCCCCCTTTAAAAATGAATTTAGTTTTTGTTCTCTCTCCCCCCTCCGATTTCTTAAAAAAAAAATAAAAATCCGTATTTACCATACGCAATTTAAAAAAAAAAAATACTCATAGACATAAACATAGAATCTTTTGTTTAAAAAAAAGAACCTTTAAACTGACATCGTTTTGGTTTCTACACCCTCTCCCCATTGTCAATTTTTTTTTTTTTTTTAAGTTTATTAAGGTGCCCCAAGAAGTCCTTACGGTCTTATCACAGAGCACCGCGGAAGAGCATTTAATAGGAAGTTCACGCCTCCTTCCCAACCAATGTCGCAAATCTTGCCCAAAGGTGGGGTTTGAACCACGGATCTTACGTTTCTGAGGCAAGTGCGCTACCACTACGCCACGGCTGCTATTATTGTCAAACTTTTCAGCACCCTTCCCCCATCTATTTACTGACATCATTTATTGCCCCGAACAACTAAACTTTTTATTTCAACTTTTCAATCTTTTTGTTTTAACTTTTCATTTAATGTTCGAGTCAAAATTTTGTTGATTAAAATCAATTCATTTCTTCAAGGTCGACAACGAGGTTTTAAAAGTAGATGGAAGGGGTACAATCCTCAATTTCTAAAAAAGGATCTTTTATATTTTGAAATTTCTATATAAAAAAAACAAACACTCTTTTAGAAAAAAGTGGGAGCACGTGCCTCCACGCGCCTACCCCTTTCCTCCCAGCGTAAATTTATAAATAAATTTAAATACAACTTAAAATTCCAGCAACTTAAAAAAATAGTAACGAAAATTATGTTTTTATTACTTTATTTATTTTTAATTTATTTTTAATAAATTATAGTTTTTCAATATTTACTTCTTTTTGATTAGTTTGTTTTTTTACTTTGTTTTGATTATTATAAAAACCGATTATGTTAAAGTTTATGAAAAAAATTCTAATGGTAAATATCATTGAAAGTTTAAATAAACAAAATACCTTTATTGCTAAGATTAGTTGTAAACTTTTTATCTGCATTGGTATCTTTTTGTGAGCTTTCAAATAGTTCGTTGTTACTTTCAGCTTTGTTGTGTGTTTCGCCAAATTTTTCATATGAATTATTTTCATTTTCATTGATATCTTGATGTTGATCATGGGATAAATAATTTGTTTCTTTTGTATGATATTCGGGGAAGTTTTTATTAAAGTCACTTTGATAACGCATGTTTTCAGAATATCCGTTCAAAGAACTGTGTTTACTTCCGTCTTCAAAACTATCTCCATTGTTTTTATGTTTGTTATCAAAAAAATATTCATTTTCAAACTTACTGTCTTTATTAAATTCATTTTCAAATTTGTTAAAGTTTTTGTTTTTTTCTCCTCTATCGTCTTCCCCTATTTTTAACTCATGTTCATAATGTTTAAAGTGATCATTTTCTTCCATCTTGTGGTTTGTTTCATCAATTTCAGGTTTGTCTTGATCGATGTATTTTAAAACTTCATTTTTTATTGAGGAATCTAAAGGTACATTATCAGAAAGCAAATCGTTTTTAACATCATCAGAGTACAGATATTTGTTAATAGTAGACTCTACTTCATCGTGACTATTCATATTGTTATCTCCTTTGTCGTGGTTATACGTCATAGTATTATCTCCATTAAAGTGATTGTTTGATATACCATGCTCCTTCGAGTGAATATTATGTTTATCGTGTTCCGTATTGATAAGCGCATTTTCTTTTTCTAGCACTTTATTCTTGTTGTCGTTGGTTTCACGATTGTGATGGACGCTGTTTTTATTGCTATTGAGACCCCCTGTAATTAGACTTTCTATATCGTATTTTGAGCCTTTAAGTAAAAGATCATCATTTTTAGTGAGTGCATTAATTAACCCTTTTGTATACGCATCTTCCTCATCTGGATTTGTATAAGGAATGCTTTCAGAATCTGAATACATATCTGATAAAACATTTGAACTTTTATCAAACCGAGGTTGTGATTTAAATTCTTTGCCTCTTTTAAATGGTTTTGAGTTGATAAAGTCACGTTGTTTTTGATAGTGATCTATTTTATAATTGGTAGTTGGAAATCTTAATCCTTCTGTCTGTAGATTGCTTTCCGTATTTCGATTTAAACCACTGGCTGAACATGAGTGAATGGTTATGTAAGGTATTAACGACCAAACTATAGAAAAATAAAAGAAAATTTGACAAAATTGACTTAAAACAGATTTACAAAATTATTTATTTTAAAATCTAAACCAGCATTTAATGTGTTTTAACATAAGGCAACCAAGGCCGGCGCGAAGGAGGGGGGTGTAACACCCCCCATCAATGATTTTTGGTCGGCAAATTTGACCCTTAGTCGGCAAATTTGACCCTTTTCGACTAGTTAGTTGGCAAATGTCGACCCTTTCGATATAGGGTAGTCGGTAGTTTAAACAGTTAGTGGGCAAATGTCTTCATGCAGTCGGCAAATTCTCTAAAACGAGGACCTTTTTTTTTTTTTTTTTAGTCGGCAAAAGTGATTATGGCACCCCTCCACGTGACACCTAGTCGCGCCGGCCCTGAAGGCAACATGAAATATGTAATTTATGTATAATTTATACTTGGATTTATGTTCGGGATCGTCTATAAATTACGCAGCGGTAAATTTCACTAATAAACAAAACAAAAATAATCAAAAGTTTTCCCTCGCAGAGCCTTAAGTTAAAAAAAAAATCAAAATAGCACCTCAAGTTTAATAAAAATCGCCGCGTAAAAGAGCTTAAGATCTCCAACTTATTTTTTTAAAATAATTTAAGCGTTGCGACGATCTTTTATTTAAATATTTCAATTAATTACAAAAGTTTAAGTTTTATTTTTAACTTGTAGAGTGCTTTAAATTAGATAAATATAGAATCTTTGATTAAATACTGATTAAAGATTAATTATAATTATTTCAATATATTCGAAACAATTTTGGATTTTTTTTATATATAAGAGTAAAAAGTTTCAGATCAGTTTGTTTCCATAAATAAATAAGTTTACAAACTTTATAAACCTTTAGAAAAACAACGAGCTCCAAAACGTTGTGCATATCGTTTGTTCGCACGGAACAGAATAAATAACTCAGCATCAATATAATGCAATAATTTTCAGACATTTAATTTTGAGCTTAATTTTATGACAAAAGTTGTGTGTTTTGATTATGCGAATATAAAGAGTGAACCCAATTCTGACTAAAATAAGTCAGTCTCATGCAATTGTAATATAACAATTCACACCACCTTTTTATGTTTTGATTGCAAAAATAATCTTTTAAATTATTTGTTGTATAATATTTCACTTTATTTGATACAACTTGATAGCTTTATCAGATCCAGTCAGGAGTAGAATTACTGTGATTACCCTGCTACTGGTAACTTATAATTCAGTACAATATGCAACATATATCGTTGTCTTGTAGGACTCGCTTTTTCAGGCAGAAGATGCTAGCTCTAACTTCAAATTACGCAAAAAATTTCTGTTTACTTTATATTGATGTTATTTTGATCTTAGATTGATTTTCTTGTCTTAACTTATGGGTTTTTGATTGAAACTTTTTGGCATCTCTTTCTTTTTTCTCCTTACCAGTGTATTATTCTAAAACTCAGTTTAGTGTTTCTGAGTCGGCAGGCAGTAAGGTTTTCCAAACTCTGTGGTAACTCTCAAAGAGGCTAACTTTATCAACAGCTGTAAAGTATTAGAGTGTTAACAGTACCATTATGTTGCATAGATAGTGTCACTGATAATACTTCTGGCGTGCATTGTTAAAGCCACATTATCATAAATTTAGGTTGACTAGCAGAAAAGAAACAATTGCATAGTTTGTTGGATAGAATGCTATTATCTCTCTGTGTTTAAGTGAAGTTTTTTCTAACAATTTAAATCAGTGCTTAATAAAATAAAACACAAAAAACAATTATGTCAATCAAAAATCACCACCGAATGTTTTAATTTGCCTTTTACAAAGTATGTCATTTTTGAAGTAACATTTTAATTTTAAAACCATATTTCTTACAAAGTTTATTAGACCAACTGTATTTTTTTGTCTGAAAAATGATATTATAGTTTCTAATTTTTTAAAACTCCAGAAACTGTCTCCTCTGATCTTTTTCTATTATAAGAAAAAATTCTTTGAATCTTTAACAAACTTTTAATCTTGATCTTGTGTCAAAAAAATCATTTTGAGTTAAAAAAATCTCTAATAATCAAAACAAACAAAACAAATCAAAAAGATCCTCTTGTTCAAGAGTTTACTACATAAGATGGAAGCAGTCAGGCAAGGGCTATTGTTATTGACACATTAACGGCTTTTAATAAAATCTGGCATGTTGATCTTCTCCATAAGCTAGCTTCATATGTTGTATTTGAGAAAATTTTTAAAACTATTGAATTATGTCTTAGTTATTGCATTAATGAAGTTGCATTTGATAGACAACACTCATTATCATTTTTATTAAGTTCCGAGTTGCCATGTTTTTTTTTCATCCAAATTAATGATTTTCATGATAATATAACTCTAAAGTAAATTTATTTGATCATAGTTCTATACTCCATTTTGATGAAATGTCATTGCTTTTGATTGCATTGAACAGTAAGCAAATCTTAAATATCTTCTTTTTTGCAGACTTTTAGTAATAAACAACTCAGTTGTTAATAACATCGCAATATTGTTAATATGAATTTGTAAAATGTGTTTCTTAAAATGGAGCTTGGTAGTAGAGTTACTTTATGCCTATATTTTGAACATTGTATTTATTTTTAAATAAACTTTGAAATAGCACAACCTTGAAATAGCACAACTTAGAGATTAAGGCGTAAAAATTGAGCTTAAATCACTTGTCTTCTAGTTTTGGGTTATTTATTCTTGTCTTCTAGTTTTGGGTTATTTATTCTTGTCTTTTAGTTTTGGGTTATTTATTCTTGTCTTCTAGTTTTGGGTTATTTATTCTTGTCTTCTAGTTTTGGGTTAGTTATTTATTCTTGTCTTCTAGTTTTGGGTTAGTTATTTATTCTTGTCTTCTAGTTTTGGGTTCTTGGCTCTAAACCTAGTTGTTCATTTGGAGTAAACGCAATTAATAAAAATTGTGAAAATGCGAGTAAAGTATTGAGAATACTTTACTCGCATTTTCTAAAGATCTTACATCTATATACATTATACAGTTTTTAGAAATTAAATTTTTTAACATAAAATTAATTTAATTTAAAAACATTGTATAATATTTTGTATAATAGTATAAGGTATTAAATAAAAATATGATATTTATTTTAAAAATATGATATTTCAAAATTTATAGAAAATGCTCAAAAAAGCGTTTTATTAATTTTCATAAAATTAAAACGTAAATAAAAATTAAAAAAATAATAATACTTAAATGATAAACAAAATTTTATTAATCGATAAAAACAAATAAAAAATTTTTTTCTTTACAAAACCAAAATAAAAAATTAAAGAGTAGAATATTTTTTTAAGAAATGTTGCACTACTTACATGAAAAACCAAAACAAAGTAAAGAAAACATTATTGAAGATTGATTATGAATCAATAAATCTGACAATTTTACAAAAAATCAAGATTTCCATTACTGATTCCATCTATTTTAAATCTCTCATATGTATAAGTGTCTATATACTTAAGTAATATCAAATATTTAAAACGAACAAATCGTATATAGCATCAAATAATTAAATGATTTTTTTGAGACTCTTTTCTTAATCACAATAACTTAAATACAACTGTCAACTGCACTGGTAAAAATATAAATTAAAACACAACGTGAATGTTTTGATAACAATTTAACATTAGAACCCCTGCCATATTTGTTATTCTTTCTTGGTGCGAATAATAACTAAACATTGGTAGGCAAACGTCTTGGTGCGCATACCTGTGCGTATCCTTGTTCAAGCAAGCATGGAAGTGAATTGAAGTCAGATAACTTTTTTATAGTAGGAATAAGCAATTTAAAATAAAATTTTATTGTCTTCAAACATCTATTATATTTCAAACTCAAACTTGTATTCCAGACACCGTTCTTTTGTCAGAAAAATCCAATACGATAATACCGGCCAACTCTGTTCAGTATGCATTAACGTTATTCAAAGATTCAAATATCATTGCTTCGCTTTAAACATTTGTTCTTTTTTTTGTTGTTATTTATTTTATTAAATTTACTTTTTATCTACTTTTCTCAAGACTATTTTCAAAAAAAAAAAAAAAAAAAAAAAAAAAAAAATATATATATATATATATATATATATATACAAGGCCGGCCCGATAGGGGGGTGTGGGGGGTGTCCCCACACCCCCCATCAATGATTTTCAGTCGGCAAATTGGACCCTTAGTCGGCAAATTAGACCCTTTTAGACTAGTTAGTCGGCAAATGTCAACCCTATCGCTATAGGTTAGTCGATAATCTAGACAGTCGGCAAATGTCGTCATGGCAGTCGGCAAATTTTGGAAAACGAGGACCTTTTTTTTTTCTTTTTTTTTTTTCTTTTTAGTCGGCAAAATGTAATGGCACCCCCCCCCGTGACCCCCGGCCCTGTATATATATATATATATATATATATATATATATAAACGTGAAAAAAATCGTCATAATCATAAAATGTTAGTAATCATGCTAATTGCCAAAAAATAATTACTTTTAAACGTTTATAAATGTAGTTCATCAACTTGCATAGTGTCCACGAACTTCTAGACAGTTAACAAAACGGATATTGAGTAAATTAACTTCCTCAATTAATTATCCTCATAATCTTTTGCAGATCATTGGCAGACCATTTGCCACTGGACTTTTTTAAGATAACTCCATCAGCTCCATCAACTTTTATTAGAATCAAGGTAGGGTTAATTACCAGGCTAGGGGACTCTGATCTCGATCCCATTTATTTTTAATTACAAGCCTGGTCATGTAACGGGAAGTTCCGTGATGCTGCAATTTATGGCAAGCGATAATGTACTTTAATATTTCAAGTTGTTTTTGAAGTGTTTCAAAAAACTATGGGCATTTACTGTTGAGAAGAATAAACCATAAACCACAATTTTAACTGGCTGTAATAGCACCTGAAATAACAACTATAGAGCAATATTTTACAGCCTGAAGCAGATATTAGAGGTTGTATTGCTGGCAAGACTGGTGCATAATATTTTTAGAACATTACATCCTCTTAATCTGCCGTAAACCAGTCCATATATAGGCTTTTTAAATAGGATTGCACTAACGCTTTCTATTTGTTAAAACACTTTGTGGAAAACATATCGGATTTAGCTTTTAGAAGAATTTTTAATGATGCATTTTTTCTGCTAAATTGAAGCATGCAAAATCTAAACACGTTTTTGTTTTTGTCAATTTGTTACTTTTTTCTATATTTTAGCTTTTTTGCCAACAAAATATTAATTTACGCGGTAAGCTAGCATTTTTGTCATTACCCAGAAGGCATTAGTTTTTAAAAGTTACGTTCTAAATGTGTTTTAAATGTCTTTTAAACGTCTTCTAAATATTCTTACAGAAAGAACGTTTAAAAGACGTTTAAAAAATGTCTAAAAGACATTTAGAACGTAACTTTTAAAAATAAATGCCCGAAGGGTATTTTGAGTCGGTCACTTTTACTTATCCAGCGGGTATAGACGTCTATAGGATGTCTATTACTTAAAATTCATTTGAAAGTTTTGAAACTTTCGCATTTTTTAAAAATCTTCTCGGTATTGTAAATTTTACATGATTATTTCAAAACGCGAAAATATTTTTTGATAAAATTCAAGTTCTACCAACAAATTTTATTTACAGATCCATTTGAAATCTTATAAAGTTAATAATAATAAAATTAACCAACCGACCGAAATTAGACAATTTCGGTCGGTTGGTTATTTTTGCATAAACTTCATTTAAGCAAAAAGTATTAAAAATTATAATAATGTAAAATGAGATCAACATAGAGTAAAACTCATACTATCGGAACACGTTTACAATATTTTTAATGATGAAATCTTTGTAAAAAACCTAATAAGTGACTATAAAAAAAATTTACGAATTAAAAACTTTCTAAATATTAAAATGATAAGCAAGTGTAAAAGGTTATTGAAGAAAAAATCATTTGATTAAAACTAAAATAAAAGAAACACTCTCTTTATGTAGGTCAATACTCTCTTTATATCGGTCAGTACTCTGTTCAAGACGGTCAATACTCTGTTTATGTCGGTCTGTACTCTGTTTATGAAGGTCAATACTCTGTTTATGTCGATCAAAAATTTAATCGTTTATTTCAGAAACCCGTCGATTTTCGGAAAACTAAAAAAAACTTCCAAATTTTAAAACTAGTGAAGGCTTTGGGTTAGGAAAAAAATTTAAAGTGTTTCTTATAGTATTGCTAAAACAAATAATGCTTGGGGTTAATTTTATAGATTTTATTTTTTATGCAAAATGTTTAAAAATTTTCTACTTGACGGGTTTCTGCTACAAAATTAAACTTTTCACCAAAAAAAAAAGTTTTTGACTATAATACTAATTTTGAATAACAGTTGTTGGTTGTAAATAAAGAAGCATACTATCTTCATGTCTAAACATGTTAAAAATCAAAGAAAAAAAGTTTTTAAATCAGTTTAAGACAAACGAGATAAAATAAAATATACTATAACATAAAACATATTGCTATGGTCAAACTTATTGTTTGAGTTTTTATTCTACTTATTGTCATTAATTTTGCAGGCGGCCTGGTGTGTAAGCCACAGAACAATTTCATCATAAAAATGTTCAAAGCATTTAGTATACTTAGCAAACTTCTTCAGGTAATCAATTTTTGTTGTTGTTGATCTCTATCTTTCAAGATGAACATGCAATCACTGTTGGGAGCTCTGAAACTGCAGAACATTTTTGAGTGTGAATATAGAAGAGACAAAACTGTTAATAAAGTGCTGACAAAGCAAAAGCTGACCGAGGAAAAGAAAAAACATTTCCGCTGTCAGTTCTGTTGTCATAAAACTCTTTGCAGGCGGATAAATTCAATAAAATTCTGTCTTTCTTCCAAATTCCTTTCCCAAAAGTTTCATCTGAGTTGACAGTCTTCTAGTAAAAATGTTGTCACCAAGTATTAAAAGCGAAGATCATGTCGTTTGTTAATGGTGAATAGTAAAACGCCTTAAGTTAATTGATTTGAGAATCATATCAGCATACTAATTTGATTTATAAACTCAATTAATTCTTAAAATTTCAATTAAATTGTAAGAATGAATGAAACTGGGAAGAAGTGACAAACAGTTTTGAATATTACAATGACTTTTTTTTTGCCCTGAAGGGCTATTGCTGCAAAGAATAAGATGCTTAGTTCCACAAAATTTCAACAAAACTTCTTTTTAAAGTTTTTAAATAATGTAGTATTAAAGAGCGAACCTCATTTGAAGATTTATGGGCCAATATCTTTTTGGTTTCATGTTATTTACACAAAATTTGCTGCAGAAAGCCGCCATGCAATTTCACTTGACAGGTTTCTGCAAACAAAATTTTTTGTTTATTGCAGAAACCCGTCAAGTTTAATTGCATGGCGGCTTTTTGCAGTAAATTTTGCATTTTATGTAGAAAAAAAGATTTTCTCCTCTCTTTTTTTATTCATTCAATAAGAAAAATCTTTTTCCTTTTGTTACTTTTTCTCATCAAATTGAACTAGTAAATAAATTAGTTGAAATAAGTATAAACCTTGTAAAATTAATTTTTAAAAATAAATGTTTTACAAAACTTGATTTTATTTATCTAATGAAAAATTTTTTTTTTATTAGATAGAAATTTTTTTGTTCAATTTATAGTTTTCATGTTTAGTGTTAGTTTTATAAGCAAAGTTTTTTTTTTTATCTTTCTTTTATCTTTTTTTTTTTTTTTTTTTGAAATATTTATATAAACTATAGTTTATTTAAATAAAAGGTAAACCTTTTGACTTAGGAGAACGCAGGGCAAATTTTATTTAAAATGGGAACAAGTAGTTATTTTTTATTGCTTTATTACGTAAAAACGGGAAAGTTATTAGCCTTTGAAAACTTAGTGTTTGGTCTCATTTTTATGATCTTAAGGAGAAATAAAAGTCACGCAAAAAATACGCAAAAAACGATATGTTATTATAAAAGTTAGAGTTTGCTTTCAAGTTTTTTAATGCGTGAAAAAAAACTTTTATACGCATAGGTTAAACAAATAGTCGACAAAATAAAATTGAGCCGATAGTTATAACTAGTTTATAAATTAATTAAAATGTTTCGTCTAGTTACAAAACATTTTTAAAATATCAAACACCCCGTTCCCAGCTCCCAGATCAAAAAAAAAGAGAAGCAAGTAATTAACTTAATAAGTAAAACAATTACTTGCTTCTTTTTCTTTTCAAAATTTGAAGTTAAAATAATTTATTACATTTAATGTTGTTTAAAAACTACTGAAATCCTTACATCAATGCTAATGTACCCTTAAAAATATTATTTATTTTGATAAGTTAAGTGAAGCCGGTGAAGCCAAAGAAATATCAAAAAAGTATAATAGAATGGAGGGAGAGCGAAGCCGAAAATCCTTTAAAATCTTAGTACAGTATTTGTTGAATAATTATTTCAGCGGCATATCAAAATGGTGCCTTTGCCTTGAAAAAGAAAAATTAAACTCAGTTAAACTCTTTTATGGCCTCTGGTCCTTACAACACTTTTGTTATTGTCTAACAAAAGTATTTTCCAGAACTCTTTTAAATTCTTTCTAAACCATTAAATAAGTGCTTAACTGAACCTTGTTTTCATACCTGCTGGAAAAAGGCATCTGTGGTTCCATTTTTTTAAAACAACGGAGAAAAATCTCACTCTTCCAACTATAATCCAATCAGTCTTTTC